CAGCTGGAATACTGCTGGTAGATAACATCTCCATCAAGCAGGGGAAATCGCAGATATAAAATAATTACAGATAATACCACAGACCACTACCCTACTTTCCTCATAACAACTATTGGTAAATTACCCCCAAGACCACTACTAAAGTCACCTTCAGACATCACAATGAGGCAGCCATTATTAACTTCACAACAGCATTAACCCAAACATTGATTGGCACACTGAGCTAGTAAATCAATACAGATATTGACGAATGTATTAATAATTTTTCTAAAAAAGAACTCATACCTCCTATAACAAGTCACTGCCCTAAAAAAACTATGCAGATGACAGCTAAGAGACTGAACATCCCTGGCACACCCACATTCTCAAATCCATAAATAAAAACACCAATATGAAAAACAGTACAGAATGTGGTCACATAACTCAGAGACCAAACAAAACGTACTCCCGTCAATCCCCTAACCAGCCAGATAAGAAGGGCAAAAAAATTGAAATATGAAACAAATTATCCAACTTACGAGGTGAAATAAAAAAGCCCTGGAAAACCTATCAGAAATTCTGGAACAAAAAAGGATACACTAAATAGCGAATAAATTAGCAAAATCAGATGAACCCCAACTCCCACCAACAGAAACAGCAAACAGACTCAATGATTTCTTCTCCACTATAGGACAAAACCTTGCCAATAAAATCCCAAGCTCAGATACCCCACCAAATGACTACCTCACCGGCAACTACCCGAACACACTGTTCCTAGCTCCGACTAACCCATACGAAGTCTCCCTTATTATCAACGCACTAAAAAACAAGGCAGGAGATTTAAATACCTTACCACCCTTTATATACAAAAAAGTGTCACAAGTGCTATCACCAATCATTGCAACACTCTTTAACAAATCCATTGAATCCTCCACCTTCCCTACAGTACTCAAAATAGCAAGGGTCACCCCGATCCACAAAGGAGGAGACCAAACAGAGTTGAATAACTATAGGCCAATATCCAACTTACACCCTCTCTCAAAAATCTTCGAAAAATTAATTCATAAACGAATCTACTCCTACCTTATCTCCCAAAACATACTCAACCCCTGCCAATTTGGATTCAGGCCTAATAAAAATACTAATGATGCTATTATACACATGCTAGAACATATATACACTGCAATAGAGAAAAAAGAAGTCCCACTGGGGATCTTCATTGACTTACGTAAAGCTTTTGATACAGTTGACCATGACTTGCTCCACGTAAAATTATCACACTATGGTATAAGAGGGCACTCCCTCAACTACCTCAAGTCATACCTCAGCAACAGAAGCCAATATGTGTACGCAAATGGGGCAAACTCTTCTGCACAACCAATTACAGTTGGTGTCCCACAGGGAAGTGTCCTTGGCCCTCTTCTCTTTCTCCTATACATAAATGACCTACCAAATGCTTCTCAATTACTCAAACCCACACTATTTGCTGATGACACAACATACGTCTTCTCCCACCCGAGCCCAGTCACGCTAGCCAATACTGTAAATACCGAATTACAGAAAATATCTACCTGGATGAGTACTAACAAACTTACACTAAACATTGACAAAACCTACTTCATTCAGTTTGGTAACAGAGCTACAGATGTCCCTCTTAACATAATGATAAACGGATCACCTATCACAAAGCTAACAGAGGGAAAATTCTTAGGAATCCACCTTGATAATAGACTCAAATTTCATACACATATACAACAAATTTCTAAGAAAATTTCCAAGACTGTAGGCATACTATCGAAGATACGGTACTATGCTCCACAGTCAGCCCTCCTGGCCCTATATCACTCTCTTATTTACCCCTATCTCACCTATGGAATTTGTGCATGGGGCTCAACAACAAGTAACCATCTCAGACCACTAATTACCCAACAAAAGGCTGCATTAGAATGATAACAAATTTCTCACTACAGGCAGCACACTCCACCAATATTCAATACACTCAACCTACTCACCATACAAAACACCATACTTATTACTGCACCATTACATACATAGACACTCAACTCTGGAATATTACCTCCCCTCAACATCTCCTTTGCCAACCTCCAACAGAACACATGAACCATAACACAAGGCACCAGATCACTCTGTGAATATTCCTCGTGTCCCCATCTCACGCTATGCAAAAACTCAATGCACCATAAAAAAGGCCCTAACAATCTGGAATTCCATTACCTTTAATATAAAAGAAACACTCCCTGTTTATAAATTCAAGTTCTTCTCAAAGATCACTTACTCACCCAATACCAAATAAATACTGAATAATGAACCTATAAATTGTTATATCTTAAATGTTCTCACAATATATCACATAGTGTTAAACCTAAAACCAATCAGAACTTTATTATTTTTTAAATTCCACTACCTAACAGAATACGCCATTCTACTGAATTTTACAACAATGCATGCACCAATGAACTGTCCTTACTAATACTCACTTTTGCTTTATAGTAATCAGTTTACTTAAATGTTTTCACTGCTTTCATCAATGGCTTAGTTAACTTAAAGTTAATTTTAAGCCACCCGTAATGCTATGCATAGTATAATGCTTTGGCATGCTGCTCTTATCTGTATTTTTTTTGTACCTCTGTAAGTGTGCTCAAATTATAAATAAATAAATAAATAAATAAATAAATAAAGAGTGTACAGAGATCCTTTACTGCACGTATAAGTTCTGTCAAGCACCTTAACTACTGGGAACGCTTGGAAGCACTTGACTTGTACTTGTTGGAACGCAGGAGGGAGAGATATATCATAATCTACACTTGGAAAATCTTGGAAGGAATGGTCCCAAATCTGCACACAGAAATCACTCCCTACGAAAGTAAAAGACTGGGCAGGCGATGCAAAATGCCCCCAATAAAAAGTAGGGGCGCCATTGGTACACTAAGGGAAAACACCATAAGTGTCCGGGGCCCAAGACTGTTCAACAGTCTCCCATCAAGCATTAGGGGAATTGCCAATAAACCCCTGACTGCCTTCAAGAGAGAGCTGGACAGATACCTAAAGTCAGTGCCGGATCAGCCGGGCTGTGGCTCGTACGTTGGACTGCATGCAGCCAGCAGTAACAGCCTAGTTGATCAGGCCCTGATCCATTGGGAGGCCTGGCCATGGACTGGGCCGCAGGGGCGTTGATCCCCGGAATAACCTCCAGGTAACCTCCAGGAAAAGTAAAACGTTGATCTATGTTTGGAGTGCTAGCAGTACTAAGGTAGATCTACGTTTGGACATTTAAAGGGTTAAACAACTATAAGGCCTTTTCCCTAATTAAGATGAAATTAAATGGTGCACCTTTCTTTTGTTTTTAGTTCAATCCACTCAAGCAATAATTTTGCATTTTATTTACTTGTTGTGATCTACATGTCATTCTTTTCATGAGATGACATCCTGGGTTATTCGTTGCACAAGCTCGTATATTTACCTGATTCTTTTTAATTGTTAGAACTGACACTTCTTTAAAGCCATAGGCTCTTGCTATATCCACCATATGTGAACCACTCTTAAGCTTGTCTAATACATACATTGGTACCTTGAGTTTCAAACTTAATTCGTTCCAGAAGGCTGTTCGAGTGCCGATTCCAAACGAATTTGTTCCGATGAGGAATAATGTAAATTAGATTAGTCCATTTCAGACCCCAAAAATACACTTACAAAAGCACTCACAAAAATACACTTACATAATTGTTCTAGTTGGAAGTTGTTTGAAACTCAAGGTACCACTGTAATTTGATTTTCTTTGTAACTCCAAGACATAAATGCTTAACCCTTTTCTTGCCACTTTCAGCAACACTTGTATGCCTACTAGGTGCCATGATTACTTGGCAGATACAAGATATGGCACTTAAAAGATCAAAAAACTATTCACAGACACAGCTAACTCCTAGATACATATGAAAGGAAGGCTGGGACAGGTTTGGCAGGGGATAGTGGTAAGTCTTCCCCAGGGATACAGTGGTCTCACCCACAGCAAGGCAGTGGCCTGAGCTAGGGAAATATCTTGCAGGTGACACTCCAGATTTTTCCTCCCTCCCACAAACTGAACTGTGTTAATTTTACGAAGTGTTGTGTAAAATTATGCCCCAATTTTTCAATAGTGTAATAACCAAAATGTGGTAAATAAATCTGTGTAATATAATGGTTTACTGTACTATGCTGCTACTTCTGTTTTCAATGCACTGGCCGTATCCCACCAAGGCGGGGTGACCCAAAATGGAAAATGAAAGTTTCTCTTTTTATATTTAGTAATATATACAGGAGAAGGGGTTACTAGCCCCTTGCTCCTGGCATTTTGGTGGCCTCTGACAACATGCATGGCTTACGGAGGAAGAATTCTGTTCCACGTCCCAATGGAGATAAGTGGAAATAAACAAGAACAAGAACTAGTAAGAAAAATAGAAGAAAATCCAGATGGGTGTGTATATATATATGCTCGTACATGCATGTGTAGTGTGACCTAAATGTAAGTAGAAGTAGCAAGACATACCTGAAATCTTGCATGTTTATGAGACAGAGAAAAGAGACCAGCAATCCTACCATCATATAAAACAATTACAGGCTTTTGTTTTACACTCACTTGGCAGGAGGGTAGTACCTCCCTGGGTGGTTGCTGTCTACCAACCTACTACCCAGGGTACTATGCTACTAAAGATTATTAATATAAAATTTTAGGAAATATGGCAGTAAAACCAAGTATTGTCTCGGGAGTCACACAGAGTAGCTTTGGGAGGCATGTGCAGCTCGAGAGCTGCAGTTTGCCCATGTCTGGTATATCATATGTAATACAGCATGTGGTATGTCAAGTATAGGGTACAGTATAGGAAATACACAGTACAGTGTTTTTTTTAGATACTATTTGCATTTTTCTTACATTACATTTATTTCTAAAATTTAACAGCCTTCTTATTTTTGTTTAATATGTGATCATATTAAAAGCTAATAATGTGTATATTTTTGTTGTTAAGGTCATCGTGGGGATCTAATCCCTGGATCAGAGGAGCGTACAGTTTCCGCTCCATGAAGACAGAGGCCATGGGTGTTAAGGCTGCAGACTTGGCACAACCTCTCCTTGACTCAAATAATGTTCCTGTAAGTCATTAGCAGTGTCGGAAAACTGAGCATAGAAAAAAAAATGTGTGTGAAGCATTAGCTCATGCTTAAAGGCAGATAGCACACGCATTACACAAATAACCCACACATAGGAGAGAGAAGCTTATAACGATGTTTCAGTCCAACTTGGACCCTTTACAAGTCACACCAACACAACAAGGTGAGGAAGCCAGTATATATAGGAGAAGGGGGACAGGAACAGAACAAAGTGAGAAAGAAAGATGGAAGTGGAAAAGTAGTGGTAGAAGTAATACTAGTAGTAGAAGTAGTAGTGGTAGTATTAAGTAGGGGGAGTAGTGGTAGTGGCACAAGAGACAGAAAGGGGAGTGAAGTGAGGCAATATTAGTAGTAGTAATGTAGTAGAAGTGGAGTAAGTCTTAGGACATGACAAAGGAGCACTGCAGGAGAGCTAATGGCCCTTGAGGGTGGGACCAGAAACATGGGAGAGGGGGGGTAGAACTGAAGGACAGAACACACCTGAGCAGAAGAAAGGAAGACAAAGAAAAATGAGAAAGGAGAAGAGATAGGGAGAGGAAGAGAAGAGAAGATCATGTTAAGTCACGAGTGTTCTGAAGTTTGGAGCATTTGACAATGTAAGGTGAAATGAAGGCATCTACAGAGACAAAGTCAGGATTAAGATTCATACAAGGAAAGTTGTGTATAAGGGATGATTCAACAAGATGACGACTGTGAAGGCTAAAAGTAAGGTAGACAGTTTGAGCAGAGGACCAGTCAGTAGGATGACTGTGATCTCTAACATGACAGAATAGAGCATTATTGGTGTCAGCAATTCTAACTTCTTTTGTGCTCATTAACCCTTTAACTGTCATGGCGTTAATCTACGCTTCTTTGCTAGTGCTCCAAATATTTTGAAAAAAAAAAAATAATGAAAGTAATTTTCTGTGAGTAATAAGACAATTTTTTTTTTCTTCATCAAGTCGGCCGTCTCCCACCAAGGCAGGGTGACCCAAGAAAGAAAGAAAATCCCCAAAAAGAAAATACTTTCATCATCATTCAACACTTTCACCTCACTCACACATAATCACTGTTTTTGCAGAGGTGCTCAGAACACAACAGTTTAGAAGCATATACGTATAAAGATACACAACATATCCCTCCAAACTGCTAATATCCCGAACCCCTCCTTTAGAGTGCAGACATTGTACAGTAGACCCCTGGTTCACGTTATTAATCCGTTCCTAAGAGCTCATAGTAAACCAAAATTATCGGAAAGCGAATCAATTTTCCCCATAAGAAATAATAGAAATCAAATTAATCCATGCAAGACACCCAAAAGTATGAAAAAAGAAAACTTTTACCACATGAAATATTAAGTTTAATGCAACAGAATAATTACAATAACAATAATAACAATAGAATAATCACAATAGAATAATTGACACTTACCTTTATTGAAGATCTGGTGATGATTGATGGGATGGGAGGAGGGGAGAGTGTCGAAGTTTTTAATGTTTAGAAGGGGAATCCCCTTCCATTAGGACTTGAGGTAGCAAGTCATTTTCCGGGGTTACTTCCCTTCTTCTTTTAATGCCACTAGGACCAGCTTGAGAGTCACTGGACTTCTGTTGCACAACATACCTGTCCATAGAGGCCTGTACCTCTCGTTCCGTTATGACTTTCCTAAAGTGGTTCACAACATTGTCATTGTAATAGTCACCAGCACGGCTTGCAATAGCTGTGTGAGGGTGATTTTCATCAAAAAAGGTTTGCACTTCAAGCCACTTTGCACACATTTCCTTAATCTTTGAAGTAGGCAACTTCGTCAATTTCTCTATCCCCTCCTCCGAAGCAGTTTCCTCAGATCTGGCCTCTTGCTGTTGAAGATGATCTAGCAGCTCATCAGTGGTTAGTTTGTCATTGTCCTCCTCCACCAACTCTTCCACATCCTCCCCACTAACCTCCAACTCCAAGGACTTTCCCAATGATACAATGGATTCCTCAACTGGCATAGGATTTCCAGGGTTAGCCTCAAACCTTTCAAAATACCTTTTGTCTACACATTCTGGCCACAGTTTCTTCCAAGCAGAGTTCAAGGTCCTCTTAGTCACTCCCTCCCAAGCCTTACCTATAAGGTTTACACAATTGAGGATATTAAAGTGATCCTTCCAAAACTCCTTTAGAGTCAATAGAGTATCTGTGATCACTTCAAAGCACCTTTCAAATATAGCTTTTGTGTACAGTTTCTTGAAGTTGGAAATGACCTGCTGGTCCATGGGCTGCAGGAGAGGAGTGGTATTAGGAGGCAACAACTTGACCTTAATGAAGCTCATGTCCCCACAAAGTCGCTCTGCCAAGTCTGTAGGATGACCAGGGGCATTGTCTAACACCAGGAGGCACTTAAGGTCTAATTTCTTTTCAATTAAGTAATTTTTCACATTAAGGGCAAATGCATGGTGTAATCAGTCATAGAAAAAGTCCCTAGTGACCCATGCCTTAGTGTTTGCCCTCCACAGCACACACAAATTAGCCTTGAGGATATTCTTTTGCCTGAATGCTCTGGGAGTTTCTGAGTGATACACCAATAAAGGCTTCACTTTTTAATCACCACTAGCATTGGCACACATCAGAGGAGTAAGCCTGTCTTTCATAGGCTTATGTCTTGGGAGTGCCTTTTCCTCCTGAATAATGTAAGTCCTGCTTGGCAATTTCTTCTAAAACAGGCCTGTTTCATCACAATTAAACACTTGTTCAGGTTTCAATCCTTCAGCCTCTATGTACTCCTTGAATTCATGCACATATTTTTCAGCTGCTTTTTGGTTTGAACTGGCAGCCTCACCATGCCTAATCACAATATGTATGCCACTACGATTCTTAAATCTTTCAAACCAACCTTTGCTGGCCTTAAATTCACTCACATCACCACTAGTTGCAGGCATTTTTTTAATTAAATCCTCATGCAACTGCCTAGCCTTTTCACATATGATCGCTTGAGAGATGCTATCTCCTGCTATCTGTTTTTCATTTATCCACACCAATAACAGTCTCTCAACATTTTCTAACACTTGCAATTGCTGTTTTGTAATCACAGTTGCACCTTTTGCAAGAACAGCTTCCTTGATTGCCATTTTCCTGCTCACTATAGTAGAGATGGTTGATTGGGATTTACTATACAACTTGGCTAGGTCCGACACACGCACTCCACTTTCATACTTTGTAATTATCTCTTTCTTCATTTCAATAGTCATTAGCACCATTGGTCTCGATGGGTTGGCACTAGAAGCTTTCTTGGGGCCCTTGGTGACTTATTTTGCAGAAACAAGCACCAAAAACAGTGATAATATGGATAATATGGAATGTACCGAATGTATTCTTAGATGCGCGCACACTGGCTGGCTTGTAAACACTGGCACACACGGGGCAATTCAGGCCACACGTGGACACATCTCGTACGAATCGTATCGCTTGCCAGGTTTTGTAACGGGAGCTGACGCAAATTTTCTGTGATATAATGCTTCGGATACCGGATTTATCGGATACCAATGACTTCGTGAGCCGGCGGTCCACTGTACTTCCCATTTCCAGGACTCAAGTCCTGCTATATAAAAATAACCAGTTTCCCTGAATCCCTTCACTAAATATTACCCTGCTCACACTCCAACAGATCGTCAGGTCCCAAATACCATTCGTCTCCATTCACTCCTATCGAACACGCTCATGCACGCCTGCTGGAAGTCCAAGCTCCTCGCCCACAAAACCTCCCTTACCCCTTCCTTCCAACCTTTTTGAGGACGACCCCGACCCCGCCTTCCTTCTCCTACAGATTTACATGCTCTCCATGTCATTCTACTTTGATCCATTCTCTCTAAATGACCAAAGCACCTCAACAACCCCTCTTCAGCCCTCTGACTAATACTTTTATTAACTCCACACCTTCTCCTAATTTCCACACTCCGAATTTTCTGCATAATATTTACACCACACATTGCCCTTAGACAGGACATCTCCACTGCCTCCAACCGCCTCCTCGCTGCTGCATTCACAACCCAAGCTTCACACCTATATAAGAGTGTTGGTACTATTATACTTTCATACATTCCCTTCTTTCCCTCCATAGATAACGTTTTTTGACTCCACATATACCTCAGTGCACCACTCACCTTTTTTCCTTCATCAATTCTATGATTAACCTCATCCTTCATAAATGAATCCGCCGACACGTCAACTCCTAAATATCTGAAAACATTCACTTCTTCCATACTCCTCCTCCCCAATTTGATATCCAATTTTTCTTTATCTAAACCATTTGATACCCTCATCACCTTAGTCTTTTCTATGTTCACTTTCAACTTTCTACCTTTACACACACTCCCAAACTCATCCACTAACCTTTGCAATTTTTCTTTAGAATCTCCCATAAGCACAGCATCATCAGCAAAAAGTAACTGTATCAATTCCCATTTTGTATTTGATTCCCATAATTTAATCCCACCCCTCTCCCGAACACCCTAGCATTTACTTCTTTTACAACCCCATCTATAAATATATTAAACAACCATGGTGAGATTACACATCCCTGTCTAAGACCTACTTTTACCGGAAAGTATTCTCCCTCTCTTCTACACACCCTAACCTGAGCCTCACTATCCTCATAAAAACTCTTTACAGCATTTAGTAACTTACCACCTATTCCATATACTTGCAACATCTGCCACATTGCTCCCCTATCCACTCTATCATATGCCTTTTCTAAATCCATAAATGCAATAAAAACTTCCCTACCTTTATCTAAATACTGTTCACATATATGCTTCAATGTAAACACTTGATCTACACATCCCCTACCCACTCTGAAACCTCCTTGCTCATCCGCAATCCTACATTTTGTCTTACCTCTAATTCTTTCATTTATGACCCTACCGTACACTTTTCCTGGAATACTCGGTAAACTTGTTCCTCTATAATTTTTACAATCTCTTTTGTCCCCCTTCCCTTTATATAAAGGGACTTTTTCATGCTCT